GTAACCCCTAATTGTACAACATCAATATCTGAGGATCAGGTCTCCTCCTAAGTGTAAACCAGACCACACCTAGTGAAGGCAAAAATAATCTTTAGCGTTCACCAGGTGGCAGTTTCTATTAACCAGATCCAGCTTGAAATCCCATTGCTTCCACATAGTCACTTCCCAGACAGTTGCTGAGGTATTAGATAAAGAGCTCATTTCAGAGCTATATTAATTTTCATTAGGGATTTTCTAATAAATTCCTTCCATGAGAAAGGTAAACGTGCTCTTTTTGTTAAAGACTGTAGCTCAAAAAGCCTCTTCACTTTTGGGAATAGGTGGCGTTCCTTTCCTTACTCATCCATGGAGGTTTCCAGCCAAGAACCAGGATACAAGAAGCCAAGGAAAGGAGTCCACCCAAATAAACTAATGTCATGTCATTGGAAAACAGTGGAAAATGTTCTGGAAGTGCTCTCATTGTGTATTGTCCAGAAGCAGGGCTTTTTCACAGAGGATGTTATCACTACTAAAGAGCCTATGAACAGGTCTTCTTTTCTGGTTCCTCCTTTTCCGTTTCTGCTGTGTTCCCTGGCCACCAAGGTTTGGGGTCCTGGAGTTAGAAAGATGAATAGCAATATATCTTCATTTCTGGAAAGAATATAAATAAAGTCATGGTCACTGCAAGAAGACTTTGCTACTTCCAGCATGTTGGGGTGAACCCATGGACCTTAAAGCCGTGCTGACCATTCTTTAGTCAGTGGAGCTCCTTGTATGTTTATGTGATTGTGGGCAGAAATTACACCCCATCCTTCTTGTGCCACATTTGCTCCTTAGAGCAATGTTCTCTTTCTTTCTGCTGCTCTTGTCCTTTATCTTAGATATTGTGCTCTTAGATTTCATTTTATTTTTCATTTATTCATTTATTCGTTAGATTTTAATTTTAGTAGGCTATCGGTACCATCGGTTTTAAGCTTCATCTTGTAAGAAAAGCTGTATATTCCCTGGTCTCTCTAGCTGCCCTTTTCCTGCTTTTCTTCTGGCTGGGATTTGCCTGGAAGGTGCACAGCAATGTACACCGGATGCCCAACGGGATCTTATCAATGCCTCTTGCAAAAGATTCCCTGCTCCCTTGCGCCTGCTCAGTCCCTCTTGCCAGGATCAGATCTGCTTTCTTTAAGATCACACTGGTGCTATTAAGTCATCCTGTGATTAATTAGCACAGCTGGGTCTTTCCCCCTTTGCCATTTCCCTCTGGTGACCCAACTTCGCCAGGCTGCCTGGCTTTGCTGTAGAAGGGCACAGCTCCAGTTTGGGCTCAATACTTGCCATTCCGGAACTTCTGGCAACCTGGTATCACCCCTTGGCTACTCCACATCCCTGTAAACAGGAAAATCTGGGATCCCTCAGGACTGATAGAAAACCAGGGGCTTCTCCTGCGTTTTCCCAAAGCTCCCTGAAACAGATGCGGTTCTGGAAACCAGTTGAGTCTGACAGATCTCCAGCCTTAGACAAAAAGCCATTTGGTCAGAGTATGATCATCCAGCTGCATTCAGGACACAGCTTGCTGATTTTATGGATACACATATATCTTTTAGGACTAGAAATCAGCATTGTTTTTGTCTTCATGTGTAATGTTTGACATATGATGTAAATTTACTTTTACAACACACAGACATAAAAGCTACTGTGGCTTGGACTTAGAATTTATTGATTGTAGAAAACTGACTACCAGGTTTGTTGGTTAACATTTTTCTATGCAATGGGAAAAAGGAAAGACAAAATCAAAGTACATGAGGGCAAACTCTGCACTAAATAGAAACAATTCAGTCTTTCGAAATCTCACTGCTGTAACTATATACTGAAATTGGTTTAGTGCAGTTCCCTCCTGTAATTTTTAAGGTCTCCTCAGTAACCATTGTAGGTAGGTTCAATTAATAAGATTTCTTAAATAGATTTATATATGCCTAAGTGGTAAGTTATGAATTTAACAATTACAAAGCAAGATTTGCCTCTTCTCTGGTACAAAAATGCCATGAATTTGTTCATAAAAGCCTACACAAACATGCAATGGCAAACTCTGAAGTCTATGGGAGAGCAGCCTGATTAGGAGATACAGCCTGAGGCTTTTAGCTGTGGACAGATGGATTTGTGCTCCTACAAACTGCATGTTTATTGTGTGCTCATCACTTGTGCAGTTAATGGCATTCATTTTGTTCACAGTAAAGACTGGGAGAATGCAAAATCCCTCTGCTTTCTGCTCTTTTGTGGTTTTGATGCTCATCTTTGGCTCAAACTTACTGATCTTTTCTAGCAAAACCTTGTAACTGTTGTTTACACATCAGTGTATAATGGACAGAACCTGGCCCCTTGTTGTTATCACGGCCTGGTTCATATAAAATTTTCTAGCCTGGCTTTATAATTCAAACCATTTTCATCCTGCATCCACACAAATAAGTGAGACAAAGCTACTGAGCAAGCTGTACATGCAGCTGAGAGAATGTGTTTGCCTTGAAAGTATCATTAAAGCAATTTCCCATAATGTCTGGCAGGGAGTAGGTTTCTTTTAATGATTTTATTAAAAAGTGAATTAAAGGGCAAAGGTTGCTTTCCTACAGCCCTTAATTTCCTGTTTCAGTGCCAAATGCTGTGCACAGAAATTGCTGGGAGCAGAAGACGAGGGAGCTCTCCCGCAGGATCAGCCCCCAGCGAGGCTGTTGGGGCTTCAGCTCTGTGACCACATACACATGCGAGCCTGTTCTTGCACCACAGTTTAACATCAGAAAGCACAGTTATCAGTTACAGATACAACCCTATGGAAGTTAGGGTGGTGAGGCACTGGAATGGGTTGCCCAGGGAGGTTGTGAATGCTCCATTCCTGCCAGTGTTCAAGGCCAGGTTGAACAGAGTCTTGGGTGACATGGTTTAGTGTGAGGTGTCCCTGCCCATGGCAGGGGGGTTGGAACTGGATGATCTTACGGTCCTTTCCAACCCTAACTATTCTAGGATTCTATGAAGTAACGTGATATTGACTCCAAATAAGGCCCAAATGTTTGTTTAATATCTGGGATGTGATTTTCCTTTACCTAATGTCAATTCGACATCAGCATAACCCCAGGGAGAGAAACACAGAAGAGAAGTGGGTCCTGAAGGCCTACATGTCCTTTGGCATGGCTGGATTAGTGGCATGAGCTTGCATTTTTGCTGCATCTTTATGCAGGCTGGATGTTGCCAATACTTTGTGATGTTCAGTTAGGCGAGCATGTGGAACATTTCAAGTTGAGGAGCTCCTGGTGGGCCAGCAGCTGTGGAGAAGCAGGGTCATTTACAAAGAAGCAAACAAACTAATGCACCAAGAATAAACAGAAGAACAGTGACAGGCTATGTCCTTCTTCTCCTGGGGTCTAACAACCCCTCAACGCATGCGAGAGAGAAAATACGACACCCCCAACATAGAGAATGGGTGTTAAACATCAGAGGTTTGGAGTCAGCTGGGATGTGCTTTCTGTGATATCCCTTTATTTGGGAAGCCAAACATCAATTCCCTCCTGGTGTGCAGAAGGACTCTGTGAGATGCAACTTGCAGCCTTGCAGCCTTCATGGGCCTGGCCAGCTATTGGCAATGAGTAACATGTCGGCAAAACTCCAGTCTTTAAAATACTTTAATAAAACAACCGTAATTTACCCCACTGCAAGAGCTATAAACTGTAATTTAATAATGTGTTTGTAAGGAGACAGCTTTTTTTTTTTTTAAATCATAAAAAAGAAGTTTTAGTATTATTAAAGAAATGTAGCATATAAAAATATCTAATTGCTGAGGAAACAGCATGATTATGATTTTCAGATATTTAGTATGAACAAATCATTCTAAGGAAGGGAGCTGTGTTTTTATGGTAGACTCTTGCAGTACGGGTCTCATTAAATTCTCTGGGAATACTGCTCCAAATCTTTACCATGCTTGCACATTACGTTAGACACGTAAGCTTTCATTCTGCTCCAATGGTGGGTTCTCAAGCATAGATGACATTTCTTTGTATGGGATATAAGCATCTTTCACGTAAAAGGAGGCTATTTCTCATAGGACAAAGCTTCATCCTTTGGGATCTCAGATTTTTAGGTTCAATTCCCATAAAGTACCCCCAAAACATCAGTTTCAATATTAGTACCTGGAGTGGCTGGAACTCTCCAAAAGCTCTGACTCAGGACAATTTAGCCAGGCAAAAACCATGTAATTTCTGCTGTGTCTTGGTTGCAGTCATCTGCTCTGACACAAAATAGAATCATATAACTGCTTCCAGCTAACAGATTTAGGCTGTGGTTCCAGGCTTATTAATACCAGATCTGTGCACTGCCAGCTCACCCAGGACTATAAATCTAATGTGGATCAGGCATGGACACATGATTGTGTTTTGTCAAATTAGCCAAGGGACATGATATGGAATTTATACCAGCTTTATACTCCCATGCTAGCTGCACCCCTGCTGCGGAAAGGCAGAAGATAGCTGGTCCAACATGAAGTTAAGACAATGTTGATATGCTAAAAAACCTGCTGTTATAAAGGGGGGGCTTTTTGGTTCTTGGTTGGGTTTTTTTTCTCTTTTACAAATGTGAACCATTAGTTGGAGTTTGCTCTAGCAGCATGTTGCTCATCTGGCACACGGCACTGGTGGTATGATACCACGCATCTTACAGTTGGGTGCAAACCACAGCATTAAGAATTAGCACTTGAGCTCCTGTCATGTAGTTGCCCTTGGAAATCACTTTTTAGGGCAGTAACCGTTGTTTCCTTATCACGTGTTATGGGATCAAGAGGTTTTATGCTACTTAGTTGTATGACAGGTCTTTCCTCTTGAAAAGGTAACATTATGGAGGACTCGCATACATGTTTGCTACAGAGAACGCTCAGTTTTCAATAGTTGGCTTTAAAATCTTAGAAGGAGGAGCCCATTCTTCCTCATTCTTCTGGAAATATGTTAAATATTAATTCTTGGTGTTGTTGAGGGGCTGGGATTGGAAACTTAACTTATCAAAAGCAAAAACTGGAGCTCTCCTTAGCTCTAAGGTTCTAGCAGTGTTGTCAAAGCAGCGGGTAGGAGACTGAATGAAACAGCATGGCTGGAACATATGCGTTCTTGGCTGAGAAGAGATAACACATCATGAACAAATAATCCTATGTTTTGCTTTTACATGAGTTTTTTTAGTGGTGGGAGATGAAGCTCTCACGTAACTAGGGTGTGGATAGGGTATCAGTCAAAGTCAGGAGGCTGGGGAGGCAAGGGTTGACCATGCAGCCTGTCTACATTGGACAAGCAGATGTAGGACCATGGCCTGTACAATATCAATGGGCAGTGGGGAAAGGGACAAAGAATCATTACACTTCAATTTCTGGGTAAAACTTTGCTTGTCAAAATGGATCTTGCTGAAGAGAGTAACTTATTCTGGGGGTTGAGTAGAGAAGATGGGAGGTCAGAATTGATGTGTTTGGAAGAGAAGCTGTCACAATAAATGAACATGTTCAGCCTGGGGTTTTCCTAAAGGAGAGAACACTCTACAAAGCAGTTTCTTCAGCACAAGATGCAAAGCAGGTGAAAATCTGCTCCAGGGAAGCCATAGCAATGTACTTGAGCACCTCTGTTCTTCCCAAGATATGCTGATGAGCCTTTCACACTAACTCAAGTCACTGTGATTCACTTGTGTGCACAGGCTCTCCTCCCACCTTCATGAAAGCAGTTGGTCCTGAGGACTTCTACATAGTCACATATGAAACACACCAGCAGCAATTCAAGCACTGATTTGGATATTTGGTCATGTTGGAAACCAGAAAAGGGTGAAATCTGGAGGGTCCTACATGCTGTATAAGGCCTGCAGGTCAGGATTGACACTGGGGTGTAACTGAAGTCAGGCTTTGACCCTTAACTTGGAAATACAAAGCTAAATTTCCCCCTCCTTTTCCCCCTCCTGAATCCTCCCTGGTACCCTACATGGCTGTTCTGTATTATGATCCCTTTAAATAAGCAGCCTGTCATTAGCTTTTATCCCAGTGCTTGCTCAGCCGGACTAAAGTCTACGTCTCTTTGTTTTTAAGACTTGCATGGTGTGTAAGTGCCAGATGTTTCCCATCTCTTGGCTCTTGGTGAAATAAACACAAACTGCCATAACCTTCACCTTTCAACTCTTACATTACCTATTCCTAAAGTACAAAAAATGGATGTGTGTTTATGCAGCAAGGCTTTGAACTACCTTCCAGGTTTATGTCAAAAGTCCTATTCTCTAGGCAAAGATAACATATGAGAGTGGACTTTGGTGTTGCTATAAAATTCACCTTCTGCATTAACGAAGCAGTAGTCTTCATTGACACAAGTAGTCTGAGGGGGATTAGAGGACACATAAAACTGATCCGGCTTTCAGACTGAGTCACTCAGCTCCAGATTCAGCACTCCTAGAAAGCAGAGCTGCTCTGTGGGGGACAGGCCAGTTACTTCACATAAAAGCAGCGTAAACATGAAGATAGTCCATAGGGATTCATCTGACGTGTCACAGCTTTCCACACAATCTGTGGAGTTTGCCCCTTTAATGTATTTCAGTTATCTTTAGAAGTTTCCCCTCCCTGCAGAGCAGGTTTGGAGGGGTTAATAAAGGAATTTTCAGCATTAATAACTGCTCATCTAAAATCATCCTGGAGTTATTTTTCTTCCTCCTTTTCCATTGCTTCTGATTTTGTAAAATCTTCCTTGGAGGAACCTTGGCTTTTGGTGGGGCATAGAAGGCTTCTTCCAGTTAATACTCATGTGTCCTAAGGAAGAACACAGCCTCAGGAGGCTGGGACCAGCTGCCTGATGACACATGCTCCAATCTTCCCTTGAACAGCTACCCAGGCTTAGGTGTCTCATAAGAAAGTCATACAGCAGCTTTTCCTTTTTAACTCAATTCCGTAGTGTTATGCAATTAAATGAGGAACAAATGGTGTCATTAAGATTGCAAAAGCCTTTCAAGTAGAATTCCAAGTGAATTATGCAAATAGAACTTTAATTTGTACTAATTCATGTCTTCCTAGAAAAATTAAGTTTTCCTTACGGAATGGCATTTCTTTTTTGTCATAGTCTCAGCTGAAAGGTGCATTAGCCAGAGCAGAGCAGTGAAATACTTCAGCCACTATTCATTCATGAGTACTGAAAAGAACGTATTTTCCCCACCGTAAACAGACCAGTAACTACATCTTTTCCCATCAAAAAAGTTAAAAACCAGCTTCCCAGCAGACCTGGGGAATTCTTGCAAAGAGCAATCATCACCAAACTGTCCTTTGTGGTTTGAAATAACCAGAATATTCCCCCTGAGTTTTGTTTCAGTCCTCAAGCCAAACATTTGGAGGCCATCTCTTTCAAGGAGTGCCCATTTTGCAGGGTGACTCTGCTATCCCTGGAGGTAAGAAAGAAACTGTAGGAAGCCAGAGCCTGAAGGATGCCTGTCTCCAGGCACTGATGAGTCTCTGCAGAGTTATAGAGGGCCTAGCCTCTTTTATGACCTCTCAGTGCATATTTCCTTAACCAAGTTGACTCAGGATGCTGGGGTCACTGAGATTCAAGATATTTCAAAGGCTGGACCAAAGTTTATGTGTTGTGATCTTTAAATTCATTCTGAACTACAGCCCTCAGTTACTGTTGTGTCTGAGGGGGAGTAAGAATGGCACACAGTGAGACTAATGGATTTTGGGGTGTTTCCATAACTTTTGCAGCACTGTCTAAGCTGAAATTTGTGCACACACTAACTCCCATTGCATATGCTAAGGCCATTCATTCATTCAAGCAGTTATTGAAGATGCACTGAAGTAAACTCAGAAGTTTCAGCTATGGCACACACCCAGATGCCTTCATCATTTCCTTATCCTTCATAAGTGCCTGGTGTCTTCCTATCTGTGTTCCAATCTAGCAACCTATATGTAGGATTAGAAATGCTCATGCACTTCCTGTCACCTTCCTTGTCACACCATTTTGTCCCACTACATCATCATTTAGCTGGAGCCCTTTGCCTGGGAGTCACAAAATCCAGTATGTTAGTGAAACCAACAGTAATTTTGCTCATGTAAAATGATATTTAATTTCCCTCTTGGCATCTTCCTAGCATACTGCAAGAGCAATGTATGTTAAAACACATTCTGGTGTGTTTTTTCTGTTACCTGAAGGAAGTAAATCACCACATTACAAATGTTACCTCAGCCAGAAATAAAGCCATCACCTTTAGCACTGGTTTCAGTAAAAACACAAACACTTCTGCAGTCAAATGACAGAGTTTTACTGCTGGGGCTCTTTGAAACAACTAACAAATATTTGTTTGCCATTTCTCTCTGGGGCAACTGTCCACTTGCTAATTTACACATCACCAAGAGGCCTGTTAACTCTTGCTTGTAGGTATTAAACCCTATCCATTACTGTGTCAAACTGCCTGGAGGCTGAGAGATGTTTGGAAAGGAGTAAGAGCAGCTCAGTGCACGACAGGTCATCCTGAAGCAGAGCTCAGGATCCCTCAAAAGCCTTACAGCTTCTGATGTGACTAAATTGCAGTGTTTCAGCCCTAAAGATTGTGTATCCATCACTGTCCTTTAGGGAGTGTGAAGCTGCCTAATGCTTGGCCTCCACATTTGTAGGTATTCTTCAGCTTTTCTTTCCCCTCCTCTTCTGCTGTCACATCCAGGCCAGCAGCAGTCACTGTCACTGATAGTACCTGTCTTATCCAAGATTTGCACATACCCAAATTACCTCCCCAGCCAGATTTTAACAGTGGGGATCAAGTCATCAGACTCTTCTTCCCGCTCATAACCCTCAGCCTGGGAATCAGGTGCCTGGCTCTTCCCTGGGCTTATTTATAAATGTACATACATCTTAGGGGTTTATGTCTTTGTGTTCTTTGAAAACCTCATCTGTTTCCCTAGAGATTTGTGCTTCATCAGTTCCTGTCTGTGGGGCCCGGGTTGATAACCTGACTTTGAAAAGGCCGTGACTTAGCTGGCTGTAGTTGTTTATTTGTTTTCCTTCCTGTTTGGCTTGAAAAACCTGCTCTCTGCAATGTCTGCTATTAAAAACTTTAAGAGAAATGCTCTGGTGTAATTTGTTTTTGTTGTTGTTAATTACAGCTCTCCCTTTTCTGCCTCTTTATGTTGATTCTCTTTGCCTATGCCCTCACAACCCAGATTTCTCTATCGATTTAGTAGCTAAGCAAGCTAAGCAAGAGAGACCTAAGTCATACAGACTTTCTGCACACGAATGTGCATCCATGAGGGCACAAAAAAGAGGCAGACACATGAGTAGCATCCCCTGCCATCTGCCTTGGGCCAGATCTGCATGATTTTTACAGGTGGTCCTGGATCACTCCAAGCTGGGCAGCCTCTGGCCTGATGCACCAGCATTAGCACAGCACTGCACTGAAGCTAGCAAACATTTCTCCTGCTTTGGATGGGCACAGGAGGTGTGCCACGCTCACCGTAGGAGCTGTGGGCAGCCAGGATCAGGCTGCAAATATCCTGGAGGTATTTTGCTCTTCTTCATACAATGGATTTCCCAAGCCTGTGCCTGTTCTATGCTGCAAGAACAGCAGGTTGGAGAGTGCACACTGGAGCATTAAGCAGCTTAGAGCTGATAATTCAACTGCCATTTGTTATTTCATTCTTCATGTAAAGGCCACAAACCCTGGAGAGCAGGCAGCATTTAGAAGATGCTATCAGTATTTAGGCAGCCCAAATGCCCAGGTTTTAGCATAGCTGATAGAATTCAAAAGCTACTCTGGAAGTGAATAAAAATACAAGGAAACAGCAAATGGAAGCAGCAAGTGTGAAACACCTGCATAACGTGCCCATGAGCTTGTTCTTCCTAATGTCTTAAATGGGAGGGGATGATTCTGTGAGAGGTGCATGGTAGAAAGGTCTCACCAGATCCTGTCGCATGAAGGACACTCTGAAGCCTCCTTCAACTTTGCTAGCAACATCTCCAGTAATACCAATGGCAGTGATCAGCACATGAGGTGGATACCTGTCCCTGGGGATGTTTGGCCATGAGCAGAGCTGGAGATAAGCCTGGTTTAATAACATCCCAGCCTGGCAAATGCTTTTCCCAGCTCTCTCATGGACTACATGACTATGGACTCTTCTTTCTGCTGAGATATTGCAGATCATTTTGTACAAGCACTGCAAAACACCTGAAAGGTGATGTTATTTACAGCTTCTCAGCCTGCCTCCCTTGTGCTTACTGAATTATGAATGCAACTATAAGCTCAACAACATCTATTTTCCCAAAGGTCAAAATCAATTTGCACATGGGGTGGGGGGGGCTGTCTCCCAAGCACCAGCACTTTGCAAGCAAACCATCTCCACTCCACTACTACCCAACAATAACCTATGAGCTGGAGATTCAGCGAACACCAACACCAAGCTGACTGTACAATAAAGAAACATTGGTTATGATATTTTTCTTTTATAGCTCCCAACTCCTGTAAACTGTGGAGAAACAGAGCTGCAAAGCTGGCCATTAAACTGTCTGCTCTTTCCTGTTTGAACAGGACCTCTCCAGGGTTTTAGCTGCCTCAACCACCATGGGTCAACATCCAGGAAGGAAGACGTTTCTAAGGAAACCGCGGAGGCTTTCCACCAAGGTGGTTGCATGAAAGCACTGAAACTGGTGAGAGTGACAAAAAGCAGTTCATTGGATAATGTAGAAAAAGGTACAAACTTATTGCGCGCAGGCAGTTTTTAGAATGAGGCCATTCAGGCATTAAAAAATCACTTTAAATAGGTAGCTTGTTTCCATGTTGCAGAATTATTTTCGTCCTGCTCTTTCAAGGAGGAGTTTATCTAGGCACGGTGGTGTATAAATAATAAATAGCCCTGGGGGCAAGGTGTTTTTACTTCCCCCCCTTTCCCCCAGCTTCGCATCGTATTGCAGTTGGGTTCAGGCTGCAAAATGAATTTTGTTTTCTGAAATATTATTTACTTTGAGTGCAGTCCTCTGCAAGAGGCCGTGAATTCTCCTCTGCCATTGCAATGGCCCAAACCAGACAAGAGCTTTACAGTCCCCTGTTTTCATTACACGGCTTTTCTGTGGGTTGCAGGGTAGTTTGCTGGGAGGACAGGTATAGTCCCATTAGCTCAGGGACCCCCCCGAAAGCTCTGTGTGTGCATCCACTGTTTGGACTAGGGGAACACTGTGGGATTCAAATGATCCAGGGATAACTCAATGAAGACCAGAGATGCAAGGTCACCCTGAGGGTGATAGATTACAGAAGGAGGTGACAGCCACCATGCTGGAGATACACTGATATGAGACTCTCTGGACAGGTAACAGGTTCATTCCTTCTGTCTCCTGTGATGCTGAGCATCTCTGAATATATTTCTAACAGTAATCAAATCTGACTATCACAGCCATCAAGACAAGGAGGTCACACCGGCACCTGCTTCTCCTATCATGGGGGTGTCATCCTGCCCACTGGAAGTCTATGTGCTCTGCCCTCATGAGTACTGGAACGAGCCTGATATCAACACCTGCTTGGAGGAACCAATTTAAGGTCTGACCCCCCCGACCTCCTGATGGATGGAGGTGGTGACCAGAAGGCCCAGAGGGGCCCTACACTTGATTTAGACCTAATGGGAGAGGAGGGAGGCCAATTTGGCACATTATTCATGGCTTTCCACAGTTCAACCACAAGGGCTCTTAGTTTCAATCTCAGTCGCTCTTAGCTAGCAATGCCATTTGTCATTTTCTCATGACGCAAGCTTGTGTGTTGCTACCCCACACTTCAATCCTTGCAGGAAGCCCTTGTTAGTTAGAGCAGAACTGGTCAAACAACAAATATTCAGGAGCCTAAGGGCATGAAAAAAGCATAGATTCCCTTCTGTATTTTGGTTGTAGCCTCAGGCTTTCCCTATAGGCTTCATAAGAGAGAAAGGAAGTGGGGAAGATGCTTCTTCTATCAGCTTGGTTTGATGCCTGTGCATCATCAGGGATGAAGGTGGTGGTGGAAAAGGCAAGAAGACAGGGTTTTGGTATGGGAGACTCAGGATTCAGTGGGGAGAGCTTAGAAGGATGAAGAACACTGCAGGTGGCTCATGGAGGGGGATAATGGGGACCTGCAGTAGGGAAGGGTTTGAAGTGAACAACCTCCATATCCAGGGACTGTATCAGAAGTTTGAGCCGGGGAGGAAATAAACAGAAGAAGTTAGGGAAGGATCAGCCTGAAATGATCCAGACACACGTTAAAGTCCCAGGTTGCTGGAGGGGGGGGGAGCAAAATTCCTGCTCTCCTCTAAGAGCATGAGTGATTAGCTCTAAAAGCCATGTGCCAACGCTCCTGCGCGGCTGCCGCTGCTCAAGATAAAATAACAGGTCATCTGTTGGAGCAGAGGTTCTTCCAGACTGAAGTCTAATTTCTGTGCTCCAGGGGCTTAAGTGTTAGTTCAAAGGTCGCCAGGCAACACCAGTCACCGAACAAGGATGAAGCTCGTTTTCACTATAAACAGAGCCCACAGAGTGGGGCCCTGTGCCTACTCCATCCCATGCAGTTGGAATCTGCACAATCTCAGCAGGGACAGAGATGTCTGGAGATCACTAACCCAGGTAGGTAGTGCCAGGGTAGATATTAGTTGTGTCACTGTGCTGAGATAGCCAAAAAGCTCAAGTGTAGCTATGCAAAATAAACCTCAGCAGTTACAGATGAGCCTGAGGGAAGCCCCAAAACTCTGTATTCCTTTATCCAGGAGTCATTTATTACTACGGAAATAGCACCATGACCTGTGTGATGGATACCTTTGTTCCAGCAAAAGATGCAGAATGATTGCAGATAAATGTATTTTTTACTAAGCTCTTCATTCGCACACACACACACAAAAAAGGCCTTTTTTTAAATGGAAGCATTCATATTTGTGGTTTGAAAGGACCTTTCATTTCCATTGCATGCCTCTGGTTTCTTATTACTGGAACAGCAATAGTTAATAGGGTTAAAAGGGTGAAACACAGCGGGGATAGCAGCACCTGAGGCACAGCAGACACCCAAAGCCTCCCTGGGTACCCCTGTCCTTATTGCAAGGGGAGCACCATCAGCTGAACCTGGAGGTGGGCTGCCAGGGAGCTGAGCAATGGAAAGGTCACGCTTCTCTATCCTAGAAAACAGATTTTCTTCTTTTCCCCCCAGAGAGCATGGAAAAACACAGTGCAAAACGCATGTAAGGTAAAATGAGAACCCCTTTATCAGCCAGGTAAAGCTATAGGGAGAACCTCTCATCAATTCAACATAATGCTTGTATTTGAGGGCCATTAGATAAACGGCACTAGGAACTTTGGGAGAATAAACTAAGTAGGAAGCTTAGGAACCTGAGACCTGGTTTAGATGTTAGTCCACATTTCACCTGGGCCGTGAACTTCCACCCTATCCTCTTCACTTACACACAACTCTTTCTCCTCTAACAAATCACTTACTTGCAACCCATGGTTACCCTTGGAAAAACCACTGCCCTTCCCCAGAAAGAAATAGCCCCCCAAACCCTGCAACACAACTGCAGCACAAAGGCTCTCAGGGCCTTGTTGAGGTGCCCTGCAAAGCACTCGGTTTCTAAATGTTTGCTCATTATAAGCAGGAGCAGCTTTTTTCCATTACAAAGTGATCTATTTCACAGCTTTCAGCCAAAAGTGTCAAGCAATCAAGCAGCGGTTATGCCTTAAGAATTGCTAATATATTTCAGCACCTAATGAATCTATGCAAAAAAGGCAGGTAAAGGATAGAAACAGCCTACGGTTAACTCCTGCCCTCCTCTTGCAACGATTTTTATCCCCTGCCTCCCAGTCGTGTGTTTTTACTGAATGGTAATTAATTAAAAAGATCAAGATAGAAGAAAGATGGAAACCTTATTACTGGTGTTGGATTTCCATACGAGTTTTGCCCAGGGAAAAAGCTTCCCAGGAGATTAGCTAATAGTTAAGCTATTAAAGGTTTCTAAACTGCAAAGGTTATTTGCAAGGTCAGACAACTTTACTAAGCTGGTAGTTTCAAAATTATCCTGCGTTCCTTTACTAATTCATCGATCAAAATGACACATTTTAAATTATAGATGAAAATGGACCAGATTTAAGTTCCCGTCATGTAACCCCTGCATGAAAACTACACATTACAAGCCTCTAACCGTAGTAATTTTCAAGTGAGAATGAAACGTTTGTTCTTCTTATTAAGTGCTGATTTACTACAAATTCACAAAGAGCTGAACCAGCCTTCACACTGAAAACGTGCAATCTAACCAGCTTCTCCCAGGTGTTTTGAGCAGTTAATACATAATGACTCCTGCCATAGCACTAGCTATCTTTCCAGTTTGCAGTCAAAGGTAGGGATGCACTTCAATCAGATGGGAAGCAAACACGTAGGAAGGAGAGAGATAAAGGAAAACTGATCTCCTGTGCTCTGTCTCAATACAATACTAAATCCCACCTGGAGTCAAGCAGACCAGCTCTGTGCCATGTACAGGAGCCGCATCCATTGGTGTTCCATGGGCCAGTGACTAAAGCCAAGGGGGTTCTGTTCTTCTTCAAGTCCTCCATCTAAATCAGTATCAAAATCATCAAGTCTGATAACCTGCAAAAATAAGTGGGGTTTCCAGGCTAGCTCCATCATTCAGGTGCTCATCAGCTTTGCTGTTCTTAATACTAGGGACACTACTGGGGATAATTCTGGATTGGGCACCGCAGAACTTGTATTTGAAATATCTTGTTCTGGAGAGGTTGAGAACTTCTTACATTTGAATTCAAGTGCAGAGAGGAATATTTGCTGCTTTTCACAGGAAGAAAGTGGGGCACGATGTCAGGAGGAGTTAAAAGAATCTGCAAAGCATTATTAGGCAGACAGGTCCAGCCAGGGTTGGATCACGCAGCAGAAATCCATGCTGTGTTTTGAGATGAGGCCATAAACCATCAGTTTTGTTTAAAGCTGAGGTTGTCAACTCTGTACTGAATGAAGTAAGAGGAGCCAGAGCCTTCATGAGCAAGCAGAGCTGCTCATCCTGGTGCTGCTGCTCCAGGTTCTCCTCTACTTGGGCTGCTGCACAAGCTCCCTGTGCCACACAGGTTGTCCCACACCTCTGAAGTGCGGCAGAGGCACACAGCATGTTACTCTGCTGATGGACAGGTCTAAGAATGGCTCCAGAAATAGGGTCCCAGTCTGTGATGCAGTAATAGTTGCTCCAGGGCTCCAGGCAGGGGTTTTGCAGGGAAGCATGTGTTCAACCTTCTCCAGAAAGTAGGCTCTTCTAAGGAGTATCAGAATAGACACCAAAAATACAGATTGCTTTTTTGGGGGAAAAATAATCTTGAGCATCCATATCAGTCGTTTAGCACAGAGCAGGGAGATGCCCCAATTTAAACAGAACACTTGAGCCTTCCAGTAGGGACGCTAGGGAGTCTCAGGCTGGCAGATCTTGAAGCTTTTGCATCCTGTGCACAACACTTGGAGCTCCCAAGAGCTGTGTCAGCCCCGAAACCATGCTCCAAGGGCCCGTTCCGTGCTGTCAGAAGTAATGCGTGCTGTTTCATCACTGCCTGCTTTGAATCGTCCAGTTCTGTGGGCAACAGTGGTGGTGTTGCTTTTCTTTCCATCTGGCCCCTCTCTGTCCTCCAGCAAAGGAGTCAGCGCTTGTGGCTACAGCTGTAGCAAAACCCATATGTCAAAGCTTGGATCGTTTTCTTTCCCAGCCAAGGCATCTGGATCTGTGGCTTGTTCAGCTAATAGCCTTGCTGGCAGGGCTGCAAGAAGCTCCGGAGCTAAATAGTCCTGGGGTGGCTTGGGGAGGAGCTCACCTGTCCTACAGGGCACTTTTCATTCTTTCTTTTGAAAGGATGTGACTCACTGACATAAATGTCATCGACATGCAGTGAAAAACGCTACTGGATAATAACGACCTCCTTTCAAAGTCTCTGCTATGGTATCTCCTGCCACTTCTAGAATTGGCCCTGTCAAGATAATGTGTTTATAAAGGTTTTTTTTCGTCGTGATTCAGTTGCAAAATATTCAGGCAGCAGGACATATGGAAATCATATGAGGCTTTACTGCACTACACTTGAAAGTGATCTCTTAAGAAGGCAGGGGCTCATGAGGCACAGGACACTGTCTAATGCCTGACTGCTGAGGCATCACCCAGAGGTGACGCATGGGAGGACGGAATCTGAAACTCCTTGGTCTTTCATCTTGGAGTGATCACTGAGCTATCTGGGTTGAAAGTGTATTTAGTGCTGGTCAGTAATCTCCCACCGAACTGTTTTCCAGGGAGAGCATGGAGTTTGGTTACGTCAACACCATCTGTGTTCTCACAATGTTTGCTTTTTCCATCAGAAACTGAAACCCCCACTGGTGAGCAGCCCAGTTCACTGGGTCCAGCACCTGAGAAGAGGATTTGGAATGATGATGAGCACAGTGTCACCCATCGTGGTGATGTCTCCTGAGCTAGCACCTCCCTGCTGTCACAGAGCTGAGAATGAGACATGAATGATGATGTGAGCAGGAGATTTCAGGAATGGGACTTTCTGACTGCGGTCATTCCCACCCCTCATTCCTTGCCTGGCACATCCCTAACTGCATAAATTACTCCTTGCCTACCTCAGTTATGTCTACTGCCACTGAACTCCCTTTTTCCTAGATGTATTCCACTCTTAGCATCCTTACTCTTTTGTATGGGTAACAGACCATAATTTCCCTATTTCTGATCAGCTGTGGAGCCTGCTTATGAATCTGATCATTTATTTACATGGTAACTCTGAAGCAGTGTGCAAAGAGGCATTGCACAAGGACAGGTCATGCTTGCAAGTTTAATTTTGCCTTTGCTCTTCTGAAGGTGAATGTAATCTTGCACCCACACAGAATAGAGGGGGTGAGAAAATGCATCAACCAAGCTGATAGAAAAACAGTCCAAATCTATGTGGGCAGAAAACTGATTTGCTTTGCAGAAGGGCTGAAACAGAGAGGGTGGAAGGAAGAAAGAGAGCAAGAAGGACAGACATCTGCCGTACAGCTCCAGAACTTGCAACAGAAAGGATGTGTTTGTTCAGACCAGAGCACACACTCATTTACCCGGACAATTCTGCTGTCACATGCTGCACACCAGACAAAACCATACATCAAAGTTACCAAGCACTTGCTAAACAGCAAGCATAGCCATTTATCATGTAACGTTACATACATGCTGTTTCGCCATGGAATGCAGCATGTTATGCTGGAACACAGTAGCAGCCGCCTCCAAATATGCTGAATGATCAAGTGGTTTTGTGCTGGGTGGAAGCTATTATGGTGTGGCCATCAGGCTCGCTTAGTTTCTCATGTAAGCTGCTCCACTGAAGCTGCATCATCAAATCTTGTTGGTGGGTAAATTGTTTGTTTATATATACATATATATATGTATATGTATATGCATATATGTATATATATATGGCACCTTTCTTGATTTTATCCTGAGATTCACTGGTTTGGCCTCTCGAACAAGAAATGCCTGAGCAAACCTATGTCTTCTAGTTGAACATCATGAAGCCTGTAAGCTGCAAGCTTTCTTTAGGGGACAGCATGTGGGTTATTATTAAACCAGAAAACATATGTGAATAATTGAGGCAAGGGATCCAGTGTTTAGCTCCGAAAATGTGAAGTCAGCTTGCTGTGAATAACATATCTCTGCATTTTGACCTGTTGCTGACAACGAGTATATTTCACTATTACCTGGATACCAATGACTGGGGGGGGTTTCCTCCTGTAAATGAAAGCCAGTTGAGAGAAGCTGGCAACAGACAAATGATGCTCATTCCACCCCTGCTTTTACTTAATGGCTGTTATCAAGGTCCTCGGCATTCATTGGTGACATTGCTATTAAAAACATATTTCTTATCTGGCTCTTTTATTCCTACAAATCGAGCATGGAAATAAATCTGTGCTGATAGAGCAGTGAGCACACAGCCGTGGGAAGGAGAAGAGGTGGCGCTGGGCTTAAATCCACCAAGCTGTGCACCTGCCTGTGCTCAGTTCACTAGGCATCATCTTCACACAGGGAACTGCCAAACCCTCATCCTCAAGGAGACAAAACATGCTGGACTCAATAGAGGGGATGCAAAACCCAAAGGAGGCATGTGATGTCCCACCTAACCCAGCATTGGTGCTGTATCAGGAAGGACAAGGGACACTGCTATCTGTGTGCAGTACTCCATGCGGAAATCCAAGGTGGAGAGACAACGCAGGGGAGCCTGAATGGCAGCAGAGCATACCGCTCCACTATGCTCTGCACTCCTGGCAGGAGTCCATCCTACTGATTCAATATATAAGTATATTAACATGTCAATATGTGGATGCAGTAAGTTGCCAAGTGCAAAATAATCCCTAGCAAGTCTGTGTTTTTCTGAGCAGCATTCTGTGTGTGTGTGATACACGATATATAAACACCATGCTACTCAGATCAGATCTTGAGGATTAAAAATATATGATGAATTAAAATTTCATATGAAATTCTAGCTTTGCTGAGTACTGGAAAACATTACTTTTGCCTTTTTCCCTTCATCCCCAGAAAGGCTTTTATTATGGAGGATGAGTAAATGTTTCAGTCTTTTCCACTGTGGAAGAGTGTATTTTAATCACAGGTGTTGCTGAGAAGAAATAGAATTGCCTTACCAGATTGGTTTAAGGTACTAGAAAACCACCTGAAATGGTTCTTAATGCTGTACAGGCAAGGTGGGGCAACACACTGAACCAGTTGAAATGTAATGACACGTGAAAATGGCATCTCTGTTTAAATCAACCAAACATGAGTTTATGTTTTGCCTCCAGTTTATCTGAATTTCTCTGTTTATTTTATTATCTGTCCTTGGCGCATGGACAAAGTTTTACCTGATTATCTGGAGTCAGCAAAGAAGGACACAACTTCAGCTTCTTAAGATCTACAGATGGGTTACTTCGAAGTGCTGTCAGTGTGTATCATTGACAAGAGAAAACACAACAATTTCAACTGTAATGGCAACACCCAAGGACCAAGTGGAAAAAAAGAGGGTTCAAAATAGAAGAAAAACTGGGTGCCTCCATATTTCATACTGGTTCAGATGTGGCTATTTCTTGTTAGTTTTCTCTTTGCAAAGTCCTTAGGCAGGAACGCGAGGAGATGCTGTGTGTCAGAACAGGAATCCCATTGCTAACCTACATAGTAGCCAAGCCCACCGAGATCTCCTAGGAGGTCTTGGGCTGCATTTGTTATTCTTGGATCAAAAGCTATAAGGAAAACCTTGAGGTTTCAGGAGCTGACTGATGGGTGTCTCTGGGTGTGCAAGAGCCACCCTCACTGCAGGTCTGTCAAAGGCAAACCCTGAGATATTCCATCCTGCAAGCAGCCCAGGATGCTATTGCAGCAGGGAATAATATCCTTTTCCCTTGCAGGACTCCCTCAGGAATAATGTGATATGGTATCAAAACAGTAATCCTCTGCTGCTCCATTTTGCTTGCAGCTCTACAAGAACAACATGGGAGAAATCGATCATACAAGATTGATGAGGCCACCAGGTGAAGTCTGGGTGAAAAGTGCTTCCAGATTTAATACCAGCTTTCCCTTTATACTCCAAATGAAAGGACAACTTTACTCCATGAGCACAAGTAACTGGGGAACCACTTTGGAGCCAGGTTCTTCATGCAGTTTTTGTTTGTGATATTTTTCCAATGTGTCTGAACATAGCTTTAATTTAGTGTCGGAGTGAATCTGATCCTGAGAAAAGACATTAATCTCCTAACTTTGGCTGCACTTCCTACCCTGCAGAAATTATTTATCCAAGCACAGCAGCAAAGTGGGTCAGGGGAGGAATAAAAAAGAAACTGCCCACAAGAACCTTGAATCCCTTGCAAAAGTTGGATTAAGACCCAAGACACTGGGCAAAACCCGCTTACCACGTTCTCCATTTCAAAGGAAAGGTGTCAGCTCAAACAGAGACACGAAAAGGCTGTAAGGTTCAAGCTGCAAAATCCCCCTCCCATGGTTTGTAAGGCTAGCCACAAAGCAGGCAGCAGAGAGAAGGATTCACCTCTCAAAGCTGCTCTGCCTTTACCTCAAAGGCATGTAAATCCCAAAGAGCGAGTTGCTTCCTTGACTACATGAAAATAAAGTCAAGAAAGCACTTGGGAAGATGTGGGTGAGCAGCAGAGCCCACAGGGAGGATGAGGAGAGGAGAATGGGGGAGAAAGCTTTTTTCCTGCAGTTTCTACCACAAACGGCTCTCCTTAGGTTTAATAGGAGAGTCTCATCTTTTCCCAGCTCCCTGAAGTGAGGGGAGCTTTGCCGAGCCCTAGGGGTGAACTGGGATGTGCATGGATAGCATTGGAGAGTGGAGGTCCCACAGGAGGAAAATAAAGAGCTCAAGTTGCACAAAAAGAGTGATCTAGGAGTGAAACATGAGAGAAGTATATAGTCTGCCTGACAGCTCCCTGTAGCTCCGAATGTAACCGTCAAGGCTGCAGCAAAACCTTGGACTAACTTCTTGCTACAGGAAAAGCCACTTCAGTGCAGCTGGGAGGACTGGAAAACATGCTCCTATAAAATGATATTTGCAGAGTATAACCAGAGAAGGAAGAGATCGCACCATTTGTGAAAGCAATCCGTGCGGATGAGCAGGGAAGCACATGCAATGCTGGCGGCTCAGCTAATCAAGCAGGATCTAACATTAATAAACCAGAAGTGGAGGAAAGGAGATAAGCCCTGGCACAGCTGCTGGCAGAAGGGTGTTCTTCTCACTTCACCAACAGGAATCCAGCCACCCACAAAACCCCAACATATTTCTCCTTACATTAGCTAATTAAAACCCCAGTCTTAACTCTGATAAACAGCACATTCACTGTTATTTATTTGTGCCTCCCGGTGCTGATGAGCGATCCTACAGGATCACAAGCAAGCAGTAAGACATTTCCACCTCTGTTGCAGGCAGAGGAAGTGATATCATCCTGGGGGAACCCATGGACAGAGAAGATGAGACCAATGGGATATTCAAAATCACTCTGGGCTGAACAAGGTCTGATCTCACTGATGTTAATTGGAGCTTTATTCCCAGTATCTGCAGGAGCATCATTACTGGGGATCGTCCCAGGCAGGGCAGAGATGGGAGCTGTGCAACGTATGCTGAATGGATGCGGCTGACAACTCTCTCCTAGATCCCAGTCTTCCCAAGGAATCTGGCCTTGATTAAGCCAGCAAAGTGTATTCTTGGCAGTTACATTGCCGGTGACCTGCAATGGATACAGGGGCCATCAGAGACAGACCTGTGAGCGTGGTCCACCTCTTCTCAGCCTCTGGGAGATGTCTCAGAAGACAAAACTCGAGTGGAAAAGCTGAAAAGTGCCTGAGACAGTAGGAGCAGACCTTCAGAGAGCAAAGCTGGTGTCTTCTGGGGTAAGAAGACTGGTATTTGCGCAATCAAACTCCAGAATTACTCTAGATTCCCCTGATTGCGGCCAGGTTTGTTCCTTCACTTCCATGTAAGTCAGCTCTTAAATTGCTTCTTTTCCATAGGTGTTTCCAAGGCTGCTTACCTAAGCCCTCTCACTAACTCCACACTTGAAAAGTAGGAATTCACACTAGTGTGAAGAACCTT